AGAGTCTGAGGTTGCTGTGAGCTATGATGCCACAGCACTCTACCAGGGCAACAAAGTAAGACTCTATCTCAATAAATAAATAAATAAAATAATAAATTTTTTTTCAACATAAACTTTTTTTTTTTTAAAGGAAGAAAGTGCTACCAAAACTTATAATCCTAGCACTCTAGGAGCCCAAGGCAGGTGGACTGCCTGCGCTCAGGGGTTCCATTCATCTTGTGAATATGTGCATTTGTCTTTTACTGTGTGGTACTTCCAAATGCATCAAACAAAACATGAATGTCACTATCTTGGTACTTAAGTACCAGAGGTAAGCAGCAATAAAAGTTCATGGATATGAAGTCCTTAGACATTATCAACACCTTGGAACAGTTTAACCGGAACCTTAAAATACCCTACTGATGAAAAAAACTCTAAAAAACTCTCCAAATAGTCTTATACTGTCACATTTAAGTCCTAGTAACATATTAAATGATAGATAATGAGATGAGAATAATTTAAAATTCTAATTCAGGAAGCTTTATCATGGTACTAAGTACTCATTTTAGGTTCTTATCTTTACTAAGAAAACATAAATAGGTTTTGAGCAAAAAATATTAAAATCTACCCAAGAAGTCCCATAAAAAGTAAATATCCATTTGGGTAAAAACAATACTATGTACACCACAGCTTTTGAGGTAGGGTATGCACGTATAAAACAATTTTACCCAAATTTTCATAATTTACACTACAGGCCAAAAGATATTCTAACTCAATTGGCAATAAATACAATTATTTGGCCTGTGAAACACTCACACGAGCTGCTCCTGAGTTTCTCAGTACCTGGAGGGGTGTAGGCATCCACAGACGAATGTGCAAGAACAGAGCGTCTCTTTGAAGGCATCGGCATCCTCCTCTCTTTATACTTGGCCAGAGCTGCTTGCACTGCTTCAGTGTGGATATCTACATAGAAACAGCAGCAGCAAAAACACTTTTTACAAGACTGATTATAAAGTAACCAATCAATTTTCATGTTTCTGTTTGTTTTCCTTGGGTAGGAGAGGAACAGAAGCTTTCAACATCCATCATTCCATCAACAAGCTGCCTATTCCATCAACAAACTGGCCTTGCCTGTAATCCTAGCACTCTGGGAGGCTGAGGCAGGTGGACTGCCTGAGCTCTCAGGTTCAAGACCAGCCTGAGCCAGAGTAAGACCTTGTCTCTAAAAATAGTCCCAGCTACTTCAGAGGCTGAGGCTAGAGAATCGCTTGTGCCCATGAGTTTGAAGTTGCTTTGAGCTATGTTGCCACGGCACTCTACTAAGGCTGACAAAGTAAGCCTTACTTTATTAAAAAAAAAAATTTTTTTTTAAAACAAAGAAAAAATTGGACATATCAATTTCTTTAAGTATTCCTTTGTTTGTAGACTTGACTTTGGAGCCATGTAACTATGTCTTATGATAAATCAAAACTAAATAAAAAAGAAATCCCAACTTTGAAAATAAAGTGAAACAAATGAACCTCAATGCATATCTAGTTGTCAGCTTAAACTATTCCAGCTGACTTGAAAACAGTGCAGTTAGACCTTTCAACCTATTCCTCCAGAAACATCTATTAAGGACACACAGAGTTGCATAAGAACTGTCAACTCCACTGAACTCTGTCATCAGAGTGCTGGGGCAGCAAGGGCACCACCACACTGCGACGTTCTGTGAGTCATGTGGGACGCAGCAGGTGCAGAGCACACTGCAGTCTGACCCACCATCCTGGTGACCTGGACCCTCATGAGGAAGAAAGCAGACTCAGTACAAGTGAAAGAGGTGAGGAAAGACCCTGCAGACCTGACTCTGAATGGATAGTGTTTCTAGGGATGAATGTGGCAGTTTATCTTTATTTTATTTATTTATTTATTTATTTATTTTGAGACAGAGCCTCAAGCTATCCCCCTGGGTAGAGTGCCATGGCATCACGCTCACAGCAACCTCTAACTCCTGGGCTCAAACGAGTCTCCTGCCTCAGCCTCCCAAGTAGCTGGGACTACAGGAACTCGCCACAACGCCTGGCCATTTTTTGGTTGCAGCCATCATTGTTGTTTGGCAGGCCTGGGCTGTGGATTCGAACCCGCCACCTTAGGTGTATGTGGCTGGCACCTTAGCCGCTTGAGCCACAGGTGCTGAGTCAGTTTATCTTTAAAAAGTATGTCGTACTGTGTATGCCAAACATATCTACAGACATAACCAACCCAACAGCAACGTGCATCCCTAGTGTTTATGGTCATAAAACACCAAAAACCCCCGACAAATAGGAGATTCTAAGGCAGGGAAGGGAAGGAAATGCCCAGGAAGAGCCTAGAATGTCTTATGCTAACAGTCAACAAGAAAATGGTCAACTTAAATAAAGCCTCTTACAAGCCAATCTGAAGAGGTTCCCAATAGCCAAGGATAGGAAAATCTGAGTATCAATAAGGATAAATGCAATAATGGACTGAAAATGAGATATGATACTTAAAAAAAAAAAAAAAAAAGAATAACAGGAAACAGAATTAAATGGTTGCCATTGGAGGATACCAGTATTATGGATAGTTGGATGCCCAACTCAGTTTTAAAACTAGTCAATAAATGGAAAGAATTAAATTATTATCTCAACTATACTATACTAAGTAGTAAATAAAGGGAAGATTCTCTTTACAGAAGTATTCCAGCATTAAATAAAGCAGAAGTGACAGACTCTGAGTCCCACCACTTGGCAGCCCTGAGGAAACAGTGGACCCAGGGATTGAGAGCACCACCAGCTGCCAGCACCACACACACCCCTGACACAGGGACAGGACTGCCCACTACAGATCTGGGAACAGGTAAGAGTCCGAACCTGACTCCTACCAAGCCTAGTGAGTTAAGATGCCTGGCAGGCTAGGAGGAGCAACTGAACAAACGTAGCCCTGAAAACACGCATTATCCACAGCAAAGTACAGCTCTCATTCACATCCTAAGTCCACATCAATTTTTTAAGAAAAGTTATATGAACATTGCTGGATATTTGATATTAAGAAATTATTGTTAATCATTTTGTGATAATAGCATTATCTTTTTGAAATACTTATATTCTTGACAGATATAGAGACCAAGAACATTATGACATCTAAACGAAATAATGTATCTGAGATTTGCTCCAAAATCATGTGGGAAGGGAGGAAGTAGATGGGAATATAGGTGAACCCAAGACTGAGCAAGGCTGACAGATGGTAAAGACAGACAGTAGGTCCCAGGGCTTTATTATGCTTTGATGGCCATTTCTGTATGGGTTTAAAATTTCCCCCAACAAATGTCTTAAAACATCTAAAAAGCTTTTTCTTTTTTTTTTTTTTGAGACGGAGCCTCAAGCTATCCCCCTGGGTAGAGTGCCATGGCATCACAGGTCACAGCAACCTCCAACTCCTGGGCTCAAACGAGTCTCCTGCCTCAGCCTCCCAAGTAGCTGAGACTACAGGCGCCCGCCACAACGCCTGGCCATTTTTTGGTTGTAGCCATCATTGTTGTTTGGTGGGCCCGGGCTGGGGATTCGAACCCGCCACCTTAGGTGTATGTGGCTGGCACCTTAGCCGCTTGAGCAATAGGCGCCGAGCCTAAAAAGCTTTTTAAATGGCTTGTAGGGTGCTAATCAATAAATATGAAAAATTCATATCTAAATACAATGAAGTAAAATTTATGGTCATCCAAGATAACAAGACAATTCTAAAACTTCTAGAAAAAAAGAGCAAATCACCTTTAAGGATTAAGAAACAGACTGACAGTAACAGTACAAGAAAGCAACATAGTATTAAAGGAAAGGAAAAAGTATTGGACTCAGCCAAACTGCCATTTAAACACAAAAGCTTCATGAAAATATCTTCAGACATACAATGCTCAAAAGCACTGACACACACCAACTCAAATGAAAACACTCATGAAAGAAGGTACTTGACAAAAAGGAGACAGCACGAAGAGACAAAACCAGGAGACCCACAAATGACAGCAACATAACCGCAACTCCCATGTTATTGTCTTAGAAAAAAAGAAAAACATTAAGATAAAGTGACCCAGAACTAAAAACCTAGGCAATGTCAACCTGATGGGATATAAACCAACAGATCCAAGAAACTCAACAAAAACCAAGCACAAAACAAACAAACAAAAAACTATGCCAGGCACATCATAATCAAATCACTCAAAACCATCATAGTCTTGATCTACTCAGCTACAGTAACAAAAGCCCACAGACTGTGTGCCTTAAACAATAGAAATTTATTTTCTCACAGTTCTGGAGGCTGGATACCCAAGATCAAAGAGTCAGCCTGGCTGGTCCCTTGGAAGGGCTTTCTTCCTGGTTGTATACATTGCCTTCTCCTCACCTGGTGACAGAGAAAAGGAGCGGGCAAGCTCTCTGCTGTCTCTTCTTACAAGGGCTCTAAACCCATTGCGAGGGTCCTGCCCTAATGAACTCATCTCAACTTAATAACCTCCCAAAGGCCGTAGCTTCAAATACCATCCCACTGGAGGTTAGGGCTTCAACATGTGAATTTTAGGAAGAACGCAATTTAGTCCATAGCACAATGATAAACAAAAAAATCTTAAAACTGACCGAAAAAAGACATATTATGTACAAAGAAACATGGATAAGGAACAAGTTGGAGAATTAACACTACTGATCTCAAAACGTATGATTATGCTACTATTATTAAGAGAAGCATACTTTTGCCTTAAAGTCAGATGAATAGATTAATAGAACAGAATGGAGTCCAGAAATGTAGCAGAACCTCTGTAAGTTGACCACCCAAGGGACTGTAACAAACTTGTCGACATATGGAGGTGGTCAATATAAGGAACTAGGCCTAATGTACTGATACATACATGTGGTGCATGTCCAGTTTATGAAAATAAGGTCAATTTAAGAAGGTGGTCAGTGTGAGAGGTGGTTAGCTATGAAGGGTCTACTGTATATGCACATATACATGTAACTGCTTTTAGAAGAAAAGTACACAGGAGAAAGCAGTCTCCTTAAGGAATGGCACAGGAACCACTGGGTATCTACGTGCAAAAAAGAAAAAATTTGATCTACACCCTGCACTTAGTACACTAAAATTATTAATAACATTGGATCGCTAACCTAAGGGTAAAACCTGAAACTATAGAAGTTCTACAACAGGCCAGAACTGTGGCTCATGCCTGTACTCCCAGCACTTTGTGATGCCAAGGAGGACTTAAGGCCAGGAGTTCATGACCAGCCTGAGCAACAATGAGACCCATCTGTACAAAAAATTTAAAACTCAGCTAAGCATGGTGGTGCTTGCCTGTAGTCCCAGCTAGTGAGAGGCTAAGGTAAGAGAATTGCTTGAGCCCAGGAGTTTGAGGCTGCAGTGAAATGTGATGACACCATAGCCCTCCAGACTGGTTGACAGAATAAGACCCTGTCACAAAACAAGACAAATAAACCCTTCTACAACAAAACATAAGAGAGAATCTTTGTGATCTTGGGTTAAGAACAGATTTCTTAAGCACAAAGAAAAAAGCACAATCTATCTTTAAAAATCAATAACTTAGACTTCATCAAAATTAAAAACTTCTCCTCTTCAAAAGACAGTTTAAAGAAATACAAAGACATACCACACCCTGGTAGAAAATAGTGGCAAATCATAGACTTGTATTAGATGAGAAAGAACATACCTAGTGTAAGGCTCATGAGGGCAGAAACCAGTTTCATGAGTAGGGACAGGGCTGGAGGGAGCAGTCGGGGGGCAACTGTGAGGGTCAGGGACAGAAGGAGGAAGGTGGCCCTTCCTATGACCCACCCAGGGAAAGTGCACATGTGTGTATGTTGTGTGTACCAGGCAGAAGAAAACAGTGCTCAGTGGAACTTTGAGTATGGCTGTCTCAAAGTTCAGAAATTCCTGGAGATTTTTACTTTTGTCCTTAAAGTTGGCACAATATT